TGAGAGCGCTAACCAAACAATCGACCACCGGGAAGAAGACTTCGTCTCGGAGAGCGTCTTCGGTACAAACCGGGGGTCCTTCATCCTCGTCGCTGTCGTCAAAGTGTCGTTTCCTCTTCCTCGTGCGTGCTGCGCGCGACTCTAGAGACTCGTCACCGAAGAGCGCTCTGGCATCCTTAAAGTTTGCAGCGAACTCTCCACGAAGAGACGTAAAATATGAGATAAGAGATTCGTACAAAGTCATCACCAACTCGACGTCGGCATCCTCTCGCTGGAGCTTCTTGCTGACTGCGTTTATACGATCCAGGGCTCTTCCCCAGAAAATCGTCATAAATGCGGTCTCGAATTTTGACATCTGCTTCATGAAGCCCCCCGCTTCCGCCCTAACGAGCGCCTTTTCCGAAGTGTCCGTTGAGATGCTTTCCAGAGTATCGTAAATGGGTTTCCAGGACTTCAATAGAGCTTTGCAAGCTTCATATCTGCACGACCATCGGGTGCTTGACAAACTTTTCAATGTGAGTTTGGTCTCGTGCTTCAATTTCTCCCAACGCGTCGGAGTCGCCGAGAAGAAGTTGTAGATTCCCTGCAGGAACATGAAGTATCGCGTGGACTCAGGACAACAGGAAGCCGCAGCTGTGCCAACCAGATTCAATGAATGCGCTGAACAGGGAACGAACTCGGCGAATTCGTTCACCGCTTTAATACGTGCTTGGAGTCCTTTGTAAGAACCGGACATATTCGCTGCATTGTCGTACGATTGGCCCCTGCAGTTCTTCAAATCGATGCCTGCGGAGAGCAAATGCTCCGTGATCGCGTCGTAAAGCTCCTGGCCTGTGTGACCAGTATTCGGGACGAAGTTCAAGAATGATTCTGACGGTGAGCCGTTCTCTTGCACGAATCGCAGCACGATCGACAGCTGATCCACATGGGAAATGTCTGGGGTAGAGTCGACGATCAAAGAGAAGTATTTCGCTGTTTTCAGCTTGTTAGCGATGACTTCCCTGCATTTCCGAGCCACGATTCGCACAACATCTTCGAATGTGGTCGAGGAGAGATAACTCGTCTTCCCACTACCTTGAGCTCCATGCTTTGTCAAATGCTCTTTCATGAAGGGATCGAATTCGGCGAGGAGTTCCAGTACCATAAGGAAATTCCCATTGTGCGACGACCTAAGAACCTCATTCGAACCTCTCAATGGGAGCCCGCGACTTGTCAACTTTCTTACGACGGCGGCGACTCGTTTCATAACTTCCTTCCAATATCTCACCTCCTGAGCCCGCTCTGATTCGAGCATTAAACTCAGATTCTGCCCGAGACTTCTTGTTTTAAGCGTTATCGCAGATTCTTTGTGCACTCTCGATTGTTCGTGGGTCTCGAAATGAGTTCTTGCGTTCTTCCAGTCATTGAATCCACCGCCAACGAGGGAGATAGATGACGAATTTGAGAAAAGAAGACATGGTCCACAGAATACCATACCGGTGGATTCTGAGTAGATGAGCCATTGTCTATTCGATATCTCACCATTCGGCAGCTTTCGTTGCAGGAAATTCGAGCTGAAGAAACGCGCTTGGTCTTGATAGATTCGCTTCGAGTTACTGAAATCCGAGCCAGAATTTTGCGGATGACCATTCCGCGCGACGTAATCTCTGAGCTCGTCGTTGACAATCCATTTCGCTGGATCCGAGTCGAATTCGGAAGAAGTGAATGACGAAGACGACGGGTCTGTGGATGAGCTTCTATCGACATTGTTCATCCTATCATCCCTCGGAAAAAAATCGTCCACACTCGTGCCCGAATCCGGGGGAACGTTCCTCAGCTCGACAGGCGGCGCTGTCTCCGCCTCTGTTTCGATCGGAGACTCCGAGAGTCCTTTAGAGAAGAACTTATCGATCTTCGCGGTCTTCGCGAGCAACTGACGTTCTCTCTGTTTCTTCTCTTCCGCTTTCTTACGGTACTCGCACCCGCTCAGACGGGCTCGCCCGTCCGCCATGCCCGCTTTTGTTATCTGGACATGAAGTTGAAAGAACTTTAGGAGAAGCTCGAAATTGCGATGCTTCCCGGCGCTTGCACGAGTTTATATTCAAGTTCTCTTCCATTTCGAAAAGAGCTTCTGGGATCGGCAGAGGCGACCATTGTTACTACTCACTCGTTCGATCCTAGATGAGAAGGAAAAAAACGGTCTTTTGTTTAACGTAAGGGATCGAGCATGATCTCGGGGATCTTTCAAGGGATGAGATCTCGGTGTTCGATTTCGAGACGTTTCTCCGCCGCCGATTTGACGGCTTTGCGCTCTCGCTCGAATCTGACGCCCCCGTTCCGGTCCTGAATGATTCCATTGGATCGCCGAGAAACAGAGAAGTCCCAAACCAAAAACTCGCCGCTCCCTGAAACTCGCCGCTCCCCGAAACTTGCCGCCCCTTGAAATCTGCCGCCCCAGTCTATAGCCTAGGAAGCCTACTGGGTAAATCCGCCACTGAGTTTACTAGCTCTGTTGTGATACCAAGACACGATAGTGATCGTAGGCATAACTTGTGTTCGAAGAACGTCGTCTTATTCGAGAACGTAAATAAAAGCCAGTCACTGAGAGGATTCGAGGAGGCGCAGTCCTTTTGGCGTAGAACTACGCCGCACGGCTCGGTTCGGAAAAAGGTGTCACGGAGAGGAGGAAAAAAAAACTATTGTTGCGTCGAAATGCCATTCCTCTCTCGGAAAACTATCGTCATGGAGCTCACCTCACTGCAATTCACTCTCGTAAAAATTGGGGAGCAAGAGAAACGATTCTCCATTGGGAAACGCTTGCGATTTCTTCCTAGGCTTCGACTTCCGAAACGCGCCGAAATTCGAAAAAAACATTAGGTCGCGAAGTTGTCGGTGGCGACAGTGGGACTGGAATCACAGCACGGGGAAAGCACATTACCGTGAATCCTGTGATAGTGACCCAGGCCTCTAGTTTCCCAAATACCTCCGGCGAGGGGCTTCTATTGGAGAGGGGCTACTATTGGAGGGGGGCTTCTAATATTCCAAGAGAAATCTTGCTCCGGGGAATTGATGATGGATTTCTGGAGGAGAGCGTGTTCCCGGTCTGGGTGGAAATCCTTGGGCGTCGCAGTCCAGATTCTATCACGTCAGCTTTTCCTCAGCCGACTTCGGCAGTGCGGGGTCTCCTAGTAGAGAGGGGCTCCTATTGGAGGGGAGCCTCTATTGGAGAGAGGATTCTTCTGGAGGGGGGCTTTTATTTTCTCAAAAGTTCCGGGAGGGGGGCCTCTATTAGAGAGGGGTTTCCATTGGAGGGAGGCTGCTATTGGAGGGTTTACGGTAATCGAGCATCGTCGGATCATCTCACCATAGCCAATCGGATCGATTGCATACGCGAACAGGGAATACTATCCCCCTCGTCCCGTGGCCGCGGCGCGAATGTAAGGGATACCAGGACCGAGTGGCGGGTCGGTCTCTGAGTCATGAAGTGAAAAGGAGTCCAACACCGACTACACTCTACGTTAAAGGTCATCGCGAGGAACGACCGAGCATGGAGGGAAGAATCTAGCGACCACGAGGCCCCATATCCACTCTACAGTAGCAGCGGTCGGCGTACCTCCGTCATTCGAGAAACTGGAAAGAGCGGCCCACTACAGTGGGCTCACGGTTAACGAACGCCTCGGAGAACGAACTTCCACGATAATGAACCTTCCGAATCGACACAATTGACCCGCATCACAAACCAGTTTGACCCGGTTAAGGAACTTTCTCAGATTTCTGGAGAGAATCAAAGCGGATATCCCAGGTCTCGGGACTTCCGAATTCTCTTTTTTTCTGCTAGCGCGTCGACCTAGAGATTCTTCGAACAACTTCAGCCATCGTTCGCTTATAGTGATTTTGTACCTTCAAACGAATCGACGTAGTTCTACGCAAACATCGGTTTGGCTCGTAGCCAAACTGCTCTAAATATTTTATAGCATGGTGGCAGCGGTGGAATAGAGTCCTCGAGGAAGAAAATCGAGGATTTCCGACTCCCGAAGAACATCGCAGTGAAAAAACGTTCGTACGTCGAATGGAAGAAGTTTGCCCGAAAGGTAGAATCAGTCCTAAAAGCTACCAAGAAAATCAAAGAAGACGATGAAACGAAAGTGACCATTCTACTGGCGGTCGGCGGCGACATCGTGTTCGACGAATACAATGCCAAATTCGCGCAGGTCGACGGCCCGAAATTCGAGACGGTCCTGGAGATGCTCGAACAAAGCTCCAAAGACGGGGAATCGGGGCATTATCTGTCCCATGTCTTCAGAGAAAGAACACAACGAGCAGAAGAACCTACGACTGAGTGGATCACAGATCTGAGACTGAAATAGAAAATGTGCAACTACGGAGAACAAACAGACTGAATGGCGCGACCAGATCATCTACGGTGTCGCAAATGAAGAGACCCGCAGAGAACTCCTGAAATTCGCAAAACTATCCGTCGAGTAAACGGTATGAATCTGTCTGGCCATGGAAAGTTCGAGAAGTCAGCTCAAAGCCTTCGAGCAAACTTCGGGGCGTCCGAACGAAGAGCCTCACACTCACAGCGAGGAGGAATCAAACGCTATCCGACATTTCTCGAGGAATAGAAAACAAACTCAAGCAAGGGAAGCACCGCTACGAAATGCTGCGTTCCGGGGAAGACGTTCCGGGAAGAGGTTCGACAGCAGACGACAAAAATTATCGATGTCACAGATTCAAGCGAAGCAGCTCACAAACATCAAAAGCCTGTCAGGCGTGCAGGAGAAATCACCCTGCTGCACCATGCCCAGTCAGGGGTCGATTCTGTTCAGAGGGTGGCGAGAGGAACCATTTCTCAGCCATGAGCTATTCGGGGTGGGTGTCGATCAACAGGGTGAGCGGTGACACCAATTCGGAGGAAGACTTTGAGGGAGAAGAAATCCAATGGTTATGTGCGGTTTAAATCAGACAATCGGATGGTGTATGTCTCAATGGAAGTAAACGAGGCAGCATCACGACAAGCCCCAGCCCGTTTTCAAGTCGATTGCGGAGCGACATGCAACGTCATACCGAAACACCTGGTTCCGAATGCAATTATGAATACCAAACTCCGACCACCGCTGCGAGTGTACAACGAAACGACCATCAAGAGCCTCGGAACAACAACACTTCGGATCAAAAATGTCAAAACGCACGTGGAACAACAACTTGAATGCGTCGTCGTAGAAGAGAATCTACAACCCATCATCGGCAGATTTGCAGCCGAGGGACTGAAGATGATCCAGCTTGACTACGAACAGATCGACGCGATCAACAGGAATATCTCCCTGAACACGGTCAATGATATTATAAAATCCTGGCCCAAAGTCCTTGACGGTAAGATCGGAACCTTTCCAGGAAAAGTCAAGCTCAACCTGGATGAAAAGGCCGTTCCATTATGCAACGTCTCCTCCAAGGCCTCGCCTCATCTAAAGTCCAAACTGCAGGAAACACTTCGCAAGCTCGTAGGAAAAGGCGTCATCCAGAAAATCCATCAACCGACGGAAAGGGTGAATAGGATCTCAATACAAATGAAGAAGACAGGAGAACTGCGACTGTATTTGGACCCCGCAAGACTCAACGAATATTTGGTGAGAGAAGTATACTACACTCCAGCGCTCGTCGAAATATTGCCAGGTTTCAGCGGAGCGAAGGTGTTCTCGAAATTCGACCAGTCGGATGGCTTTCGGCATTGCGAACTGGAGGAGTCTAGCAGTCAGCTCACAACATTCCCAACCCCGTTCGAAAGATTCCAGTCCCTGAGACCACCCTTCGGACTGAAGGTTGCGCCCGAGATCTTCTACGAAATGCTAGTCCAATTGCTTGAAGGACTGGATAAAACCTATGCCTTAGCAGATGATGTATTAATCTGCGGTAGCGGCAATAACGGAGACGAAGCGAAGACCGACCACGATGGCAATCTCAAAAACTCCCTCCAGAGATGCGCAGACAAGGGATTCAAACTCAAGAGGAGAAAAGCTACGCTGAGAGCGAAGAGCACTGAATTCTTCGGATTCGTACTGACGGACAGAGGCGTACAGATGCAACAAGCCATAGCCAGGAAAAGGGAACCACAAGACGCAACCGCGCTCGAAAGTTTTCCCGGTATGCTTTCCCACATTTCGCGCTTCATGCCGAAGGCAGCGGAGGTCGTCGCACCGCTGAGAGAAGTTCGCAAGCTAGGAGCCGAATGGTCATGGAGTGAAAAGCAACAAGCGAGCTTCCGACGGGAAACGGAAATGGCCAGTGAAAGCATGGTACTAGCTTTTTTCGACCCCAAGCGGCCGATCGAGATCGAGTGCGACGCAAGTCAGTTCACCAGGAAGGCAGCTTTCGACAGCATGGAAAAAGACTATGACAGAGGGGCAAGGGAACTCGAGCCTTTACAGGACGGAGATATCGTCAGAATTAAGAATGCATCCATCCGCTCAAGAGTAAACAACTGTTTCCCTCGTGCTCACCGGAATTCGTGAAAAACTAGTCTAATTCTAAGTGATTCGTGCCAGAAATTATCCCAGAATGTCAAATGGGTTCAACGACGCTCAAATTGACCAGCTGCAGAAGATGTTTTCCAGGATGGAGAGCAAAATTGAAGCCAGGTTGGACAAAGTGATAACGGACCGACTGAGTGAATGCATGGACTTGAAACTGAAACCTGTGATCAAAAAAGTGGAGCTGCTTAGTAAGGACACTGCAGAACTCAAGTCCAGGCTCCTACAAGCTGAAGTCAGCGCTCGATAGAATAACACGGAAATTGTTGGATTCCCAGTGGAGCATGCCAGTGAACCGGGCATAGTACTGATGAACATGGCTAAAAAGATCGGCCTGACAATACAGAAGACAGACCTAATAACGGTGTACAAGACA